GACGAAGTTGAAAGCATAAAAATGGTCTGCAGCAGCACTCGATGCATCAATTGCAAATAAGAAACAGCAAATCTTTTTTGGGTTATTTCGTGTCAACGCTTACTTTTATCAACATGGTCATACACAAATTTTTAACATTATGTTCTTTTCGACCTTTCTGACTTGCAGGCTTTTTGTCTTATGTGGCTGTCTTCCCTAAAATAAATTCACAACAACCCTTTCGCATTGACACAGCGATATGAAAATAATTACAATAATTTACATTTAAACTTTTGGCGAGCAATATTCTCTTACAATTTTTTGCCACCAAGGGGAGAGGCACAACGGCGCATGCGCGTCGGTTCTCTTGCAAGAACGACGGTCCTTTCCCGCAATGCTTGTATTGAAGCTGGCGTACCATTGCGATTCCCACGATTACCAGCAACCTTCGCGCTTCCCCGTGCCCCGTTGTTCGGCAGCCCCATGAGTTGCAGAGTAAATTTTAATGACAGTGTGAAATGCGGGACATTTTGAAGATTCAAGAATTTCTCGCGGGACGCGAGCCCTCAACGCGGGACAGTCCCGCGAGTCGCGGGACGGGTGGTCACCCTAGTTTTGGTGTCTACGGCATTCGACGACGTCTGCACAACTGCGGCGGCATAAGTCTGCGACTCTGCGCACGTGGTGTCCATAGTGTGGACGAAACTCCGAGAGGCAATAATCACAAACGGTGAGACGACGACGGTGGTTGTGACGCGGAAGATGGCGGTAACGGCGCGACCACGGCGGGCGGTTGATCTGCTCCCAAGAAGCGCGCTGCGCAGGCGCGTGCGCCAATCACGCGGACACCGCTGAGCGCCGAGAGGCAACGTTGCTGACGTCATGCGCTACGCTCGATCGAAGAAGTAAAAACAAGCAAAAGGGGGCCATGATAATGACGTTTAGCTCAATGTTGGCTCCGCCCATGCCGTAGCCTTGACTGGGCTGTTGGTTGCGCCTGAATTCGCCCGCTCAAGTCAGCCGATTTCGGCAACTTGGCGAGTTGCAAAGTTTGCCGGACCGTTTAAGAAACATTTAGACAGAACTGAGTCGTAATATTTGACGTGTGGTCTTCCTAAGCGATACTGAAGAGGACTGCATTGTTTTTCCAAAACCAAAAATGAAGCGGAATTGCCCTTTAAGCTGAGACTAGCCAATGCGACAGGCACGAAAGCTCGATGTCATTGCTTTGAAGCGTTCTTCCGCAGAACGAGCGCTCGCGCGAGGAATGCACGTTTCAAAGCCATAAGCGCGGGCAAGCTCGCACTTGTAGCTTTGGCTGCAGTTTCAGCTTAAGGGTAAACGAAGTATCGTAAGTGTCATGACAAATTGTTCAATTTGTAACTCGCCATTGGCGACCTCTACAAGCTCGACCCCACCTTTGGTCGCCGATAGGATAAAAAACGACAGCACGTCTCTTTCGAATGGTCGGCCTGCAGCGCGCGCTCGTTGCCTTCTTATCGTGAATTGGCTGCGAGTGTATACGCATCAAGCTCACGGGGCACCGAAGCGTTATCGAAGGTAGAGAAGCCGCACTGGAGGCCGAGACAACTGAAAGACGTCCCTGCCGTTCCCCTGTCGGTGACCATAGTGGTGAGAGGCGCACAGCGAAACGTTCTGACGTCACGTCACTCGCCAAAAGTGATTAATAACCGCTCGCTGGTTAGGAGATATTGGGAGATAAAGATTGGGGATGCGGAAGATGAAAACACGCGCTGTAAAGATGACCAACGGTGCTTTCCGCTTGAGCGGTCAGAAGGTCCGATTTTTTACCGCATCACCATATTCCTTGACTGCAGTGTGTGAGTGTCAATCGTATACTCGAGCTGCGGGGCACCATTTGAGCGACCATCCGACTGAGACACGGAACGCAGTATGCGCTTTGGGTAGCAACACCCCATTCACCGATTCTATGTTGGACACCGCCATCTTGTTCCCTAGGTGCAGCTTCATACACAGCGTAAGTAAGCTCAGGCGATATTATGAAATTTTAGAATAGCGTAAAGACCCTCGCGTTAGCACGCTAGCTCTCAGCAGAAGGCTGTGGAGCACGTCAAACCAGCGCTTTAGTACGGCGGAACGCAAACGCATGCGTAAGCAGTTGCAGCGCCATGTGCTCATGCAGACCGTTTCGAGCAATCTAGCGCCGGTAATTGGTCACGTCAAGCTGAGTCTCGCGCATTCCCGCGCGCGACGAAAGCAACGAGAAGGAAACGCGGAGGACCGCTGCATACGCACGCAAAAATCGATAGCGAACGTACGTACGCAAAAGCTCACGGCGTTGCGTACGTGTGGAGCATGCGCAGTGTGGCGGGTCCAATGCTAACCTAAATACACGGTGCTCGCGTTTGCTCGCCTACGCAATACTAAAACTCTCTATTCTTCATTTCGGTCGCGCACTGTTTTAACACTTCTGATGGACAGAAAAGCGTTTCCCGCATTTTCAACCAAAGATTCAGATAACTGCCTATAAGCAATGAGGCAATTGAAGTGTCCTTATTTCGAAACATGGCTTGTTTAGTGCCTGTGTAAACGAAACAGCTAAGTATCGAATTTTGTTTCTTTATTTCTCAAAGCTTGGCACTATCGAGATTCAAGTATATCACGATAGTATATTAGAGAGAGCATTTTAATTCGTCAGCATTAGAACGCTCGTTTTCACGAAAGCCCGCCAGAGTCAGTCCGTGCCTCCGATTGTCACTGCCATGCATGACGTCGCTAAGAGTGTGGGGTGGTGAAGGGGTATCGTGTTTACAGATCCAATGTCTCTCCACGCCGGCGGGGAGAGAGGGAGAGGGTCACGCGTGCTGACGTCAACACTTCGGACGCGGGTTGTGCGAATAGTGGTTCGAATCGAATAGCGCAGCGACATTCCTAGCTTCTGCACTGTTGAAAGAACCGGTCGTCTTGACCTTCCCTTACACTGTGAAGGCTATGAATGATGCAGCGCTATTCGATTTGAACCACTATTCGCACAACCCTACTTCGGACCAATACGAGTGTCGCACAGCTGGCGCGGAGCCAGCGACGAGCAGGCGCCGCGCCGCTTTGGAATGCCGCCAAACTCAGTTACCGCTCCGGCGGTGGATGTGGTTCTTTCCACGAGTGATATGGCAAACCGTATCCAAGAGCGATGACGGAAGAAAGCCGAGGCCACGCGTTGGCGACGTCAGATCGAGACCGAGAAAGAGCGTAAGCGTCGTATGGGGTGGTTGCCGCCGCAGAGGCTAAGTGACGGAAGCGTGCAGCGGGAAGCGAAGAGGAAGGGCATTAATAAACAATGGGAAAGTGGTGATAAACGAATAGCAAGGACTCCTAAACAAATGGAAAGTCGTGAAAAAAGGTGAGAAAGAACCAATGCTAACGCATTTCCATTGGATGAGTTCATTGATCGTCGAAGAATGTCTTAGTATTTGTATATCTGTGTCGAGAGATCCTTTTGAAAACAGTATTTGTATATCACTATGGTAAAAGACGTTATTTGTTGACGATATTTACCTGCTGTGTTTCTGTCAACAACAAAAAAAAAAAGATAATTTGTGCAAGTGCTAAGCTAAGAGTCCGAGTATTTAGTTAAAAAAACCGAGACGTGGGAAAACTTCTTAGATATAATAGTGCTGGATTTCCCGCGTCAGCTTCTAGAGGTCAGCACGGGGCACCAATCAAAGACGAGTGCCGCGGCAGCGTTTGGCCCAGACTCGCGTTTAGTCGGTAAAAAAAGTCCCCGCCAAATAATAACGCAGCCATGCAAGCAGGACCGGATGTAGGGATTCCCTTAATTCGGGGTGTGCGAACACTGAGAACACTTGAACTCTGCAAAGAGAGCCGGTATGTCTTGCGATTTCCCGGCCCTGCGAAGGCTATTATTGGCACGTGTGTTGCATTCGAACCGCTACTCGCACACATGACAAACGCTGTAATAAACGACATTAAACTTTTGCGTAAGAAAAAAAAAAGAAGTGTATTTTGCTAGCTTTTTACTGAGGTCAAACCGTCGCTGCCTTGAAGACATTCTCTTTGAGAAGGTCAAGTGTAATTAATTTAATGAATTTGTTTTTGCAAAATGCTTGTTGTGAATAGAGATGTATGTTTTTTTCTGAGAATGCAGTCACGGATTGCCTCTATGTTTCGCGTCGTTTTTAGAACCTGCGTTATTAAACAGTTTAGATAAGGAAGGTAATTTAGTGCACGTATTTCAGCATCCCTATTACTGAACGTGTATTATCTGGAGCCCCGGTATCACCCTTGCATCAGCTGTCGAATCTATTCAGAACCGTTCTGCCCGTTTCATACGCTCGAACTATCATCGTACAGCCAGTGTAACTTCCATGAAATCGTCCCTCTCCTTTTCTGATCTCTCTCTCCGAAGAAAAATATCTCGTCTATGTTTATTTCACAAGATTTATTACTCTAACCCCGCTCTCCGTCAAGCATTGTTTTTAGAACCATCGTACATATCATCACGTGTAGACCATGACTTAAAGGTAGGGATTCCCCATTGTAGCACATCCACTTTTAATGCTTCTTTTCTACCCAAACCTCCATTGATTGGAATCGCCTTCCCGCACATATAGTCTCAATAACTAACACTGTTGATTTTAAAAATGTTATTAACAACTTTTTAACAGATGATGCGTAGCGCGTGTTTTTTTGCTGTGTGTGTGTGTGTGTGTTTTATTTATTTATTTATTTATTTTTTTGCCTCGTTCAACTATGTTACTTTTATGTGTCGACCGCCCACTCCCCTCTGTAATGCCTTCGGGCCCTGAGGGAATAATAAATGAAATGAAATATATTACTTTTTTGTTCCTATTAAAAAAAAAATATCTTTGAAAGATCCTGACATCCTAAAACAATCTCATTGTCCATATTTTAGTTTTCCACTAGTTATTATTTTTTTGTATTTGTATTCCACAGCAGTCTTATTATGTCTTCCCAGACAAGTGTCGGATAAAATTTCATTTTCCCCTGCCTATGCGCAGGTATGGGCTACACTATGACCTTCTACTTCACCCTGGGCATGGTCGTGTTCTGCACGGAGTGCTCCTACTCGACGGTGTTCCTCGTGAACTGGTTCCAGAATCCTCTTCCGTGGGCTGACTGCGACCAGGATTGGATGCCCGATAAAGAGTCCTGCTACGTTCAAACGTCCGACATGGTAGGCCCTCGATCGACGCGAAACGCCGTTGCTTCGATTGCCCTCGAAAGCCGGCACTAAGAGTTCTTTCCTTTGTTAACTATATTCCACACATAAAGTATTTCATGACCTTTAAAACATTACGCTCCAGATTGTACTGAATTAGCGTTTAGCGGTATCTAATCGAATTAACATTTACCGGTATCCAAGGGACGCTAGCGGTGTTATGCGCGTTTATTATTGTTTATAGTTTGCTGCTCATTTCTATCATTGTATAATATCTTAGGAACTGGTAGTATTCTGAAATAAATAAATATATGAATGAATCAATGGATTAATTGATGTACGGGAAACTGAACTTTATAATCCCTAAAAACGTTCAAAAACAATAATGTCCCAGTAAAACATAAGAAACAGCCCGTAAAATTAATAGTTAGCAAAATAGGTTCAGATTCTTCTTTTATACACATGCAGTGAAGAGATAGAAGTGTAGCTTTCAGTATTTAAAAACAAAAGTAAGACTTTGTTGTTGTTGTGTTTGTTTGTTTGTTTTCTGCTAGCAGAGTCTCTGTAAGACAGAACGCCAGCACATCGTAGACCAATACGAGAACTCCGGCGCGTTGGAGGGAATTCCGGTTTCCGACGGCATCGTGACCGTCTTTGTGCCCAAACCCGAGTATGCCAACATGACCCAGCTGCTAAACTGCATCGGCGGTTCTGTCAGCGCCACGGAGTCTTTCTTCGAGTGCGTCTTTTTCCTCTCCATTCTCACGAGACAAGCTCTCGTCAAACTGCAATGCGTGTATGCTATTACCCGACGTTATATGATCCAGTTGAGCCGATCAAGCAGCGTTAAAAAGTGCACCGTCATGACACTCGTCGTTTTTGTCCGTTTGCCATCACCGGCTCAACCAATCACGCGCATCGAATCCGCCGCAATCGTTTACTGATTTCTGCGGGTGACTGGTTTAGCCAGTGATAGGAAGCGCAATGATGATGATGATGAACTTTTGGGCTGCTTGATTGACTCAATCGGATTGTCACGTCGGCTGCGTTCGGACCTAGAATGACACGGAGTATTGCAACGGCAAAACTTCACTCTGCTATGCGGGCAGTAACTGAGGGAGAGGAGGAGAAGGGGGAGCGGGCGGTGACGTCACAACGTCGAGCTCTGGTTGGAATGATTAGTGGGGAGGCGCAAAGCTAGCTGCCTTCGTCTACACTGCACTCGTCGAACACATTCGAACGCGGAACTCTGGTGCTTGGCGTTCGCGTTCGAACGCGTTCGGGCACTGTAGTGGAAACAAATGCAGCCAGTTTTGAGTCTACCCACAAATCATTGCCACCAGAGCTCGGTGTCCTCACGACCCCTTGCGCTCTCCTCTCCTCCTCTCTCTCATGTTCTGCCCGCATATAATTGACGTGCGCGACTGTACGAGTGGCTGCAGAGGTGCTGATCGCGTTTCCATCCGCCGGTGATTCACCTTCGGTTTCGCTTCGCTGCCAGTTTACGTCACATCCCATTCAACGCTCTCCACGAAACGTGCACCGGTAATTTACATACATAGTGCATAAATATAATTATATTAACGTAACATAGCGAAACGTAACGTAGTGTAACGTAATGTAGCGTAACGTTGCTTAACGCAACGTAGCGTGACCTCAAAACTCTATAAGACCAAGACATTAATGCATTCCACGTTAGCAAGCTTGAATGTCGACTGAATTCGATGTCGTATATTGCAAACAATTTTACAAAAGATTTCGTATCTTCACATTATGCAGTGATGTGGTTGATACGCCATTTGCGAGTATCAACATACTGACATTTCAGCGAAATGTGAGAAATTCGCTTCAACACTGTGCCAAAAGTTAATTTCCTTGTCTCAAAACTGAAAATAATAGCTGAGACGCCGTCACACTCCCCGATTGGTACGGGACGCTTGTGCAACATTTTCAAAACTTTCGATTGTCGCCTAGAATAAGTGAATATATTTGAGTTTCGGATGAAGCATTCACTATACCTAGGAGTTCTGTCATATTTGTCATGATTCATTGCCTGTTCGGGCGGGTTATTTAGCTTAGTTGAATGCCCTTCTTTCCGCTCACTGGTGAACTGCGGGGTCGCGACACCCATAATGCGACCATAGCGATTTTGCATTTCCTGCTTCAGCGCAGCACAGCCGCGAGCTGGGCGAAGCACACTTCTCGAGAGCGGTATGGTGCAAGCAAACAAATGAATTAATAAAAAAAAGAAAAAAAGACATCTTGAAAACATTTTTGTGACAACTTCTCTTACGGTTAAATTTCCAGAACAAAACCACAGCCCGTCTACATTGACTGTAATATCCTGAAAAGTTGTTCGAGATTTAAATAACTTGGTTATAGCTACAGGATTTCTATATTTACCTTGATTAGGTACGTACGCCTGGTTAGGCTGCTCCAAAATGGCATCGAACCATTCACATCGCTGCACACACATTGCTAACTGTTAAACTTAATCATATTGCCACGAGGTTTCTTTCGTCCAATTTCAGAGCTTTGTTTATATGACATAGTCAAAATTGTTTCGTTAAAAGTTTTGTTACGTTCGAAGACATTCATGGTTGAGGTTACCGCTCCAGTCTACGAAAGTCGTAATTCTGCTAAGTTGACCTTAATTTATAAGTACGCACGGCCCAAACTGGCGTTTGGTGGCCTCGCCACGAGCCGAGACTATGCCATCTGCAGTGCTCAACCTGGTTGTGAACTGTCCGTCGACAGAACGAGGGTTCTCCGGATCAGCACGGAGACAGGTGATGCAAGCAGCGTCCACCCCGAGATGACCGTAACCACAGCCGTGTTGTGGCTGATCACGTACGGGCTCACCAGGAACGGGGTGCACAAGAACAAACACGTAAGCGCGCTCATTGCCGCATCCGCCCTCAAGCTTGTATAATATACATATAGCTTACGGAGATGTAAACTTTGTTTTGATAGCCATTAGTGCCCATCGCAAAGCGTATTGTTTGTTTCTGGTAGCCGTGTATATTTCCTATGGGATATACGGGGGAATGCGGGCGGTGGCCTAATACAGTACTTCGTTCCGCTTGGAAGCCGCATTTCCTCCAAGCAGTCCGACGTTAATAAACTGGAGCAACTGAGGTAACTAATCGGAAACTACCCCAAACTTTGTAGTAGTAACCACGAAAGTAATTGCAGTTGCGAAAAGTAACACCTTATTACCCTGTTAAAATTTCATACCTATTTGATCTTTGAATTTAAAGCCTGTTCGCTGAAATTGCTCACAAAACAGTTCTTGTAACGAACGCGCATTTAGCCGTTTCAAAAACACCCGACGAGAAGATACACGTTCAATTTCCGGGACATTTTTTCTCACCAGATTATCTACGCGATTGTTGCCTTCTCTACTCTGAGCCTAATCCTCCTCGTGGGCGTGGCACTGACGCTGGAGGGCAGTAAGCTTGGCCTCTTGTTACTCCTGCGAAGTCGAACTTCGAGCTTCTACGATTACAAGGTTAGCGCGCTTGACATTCCCGTGTTATTAGTGTCATTAAGACATTTACATGATTGTTGCAGTCCTCAAACCTACGTCAACTCAGTCCTTTCGTTTTTTTTTTAGAAAACCTGTATTTCTTTTTTCTCTCTTCGTTTCAGCTCTGGAGGGACGCCTTGAAGATGTGTGTCGGTCACATAGGCATATTGGGCAGCGCATTTCTCAACGTTGTGCGCTTCAACACCTTTAAAAACAATCTGAAATTGTGAGTTTGGAGGGCCATCAGCAAATATCCTACGTTTCAGTATTCATATTCACGCCACCATTACGTTCATGGACGTAATGGCGGCGTGGGCCATGTACAAGGAATAAAGTGTTATAAGAAAGAAATTAAAGAATAAAGGCAGACATATAGAAATCATCCACTAGAAAGCTGATCACATCCAGTAGCGTCGTTTGTCAGCTACGACGAGAGTGTGAGAAGGGGGGGTTGGGGGGGGGGGGGGGGGGGAGAGGTTGAGGAGTGCTGACGTCAGCGCTTCGGACCAACGGGAGCGTGGCACGCGTCACCCTCTCCCCCTCTTCTCACTCTCTCCACGTAGCTGACAAACGAAAGACACCGCCGGGTTTTCGTCAAAACAAACGTTCGTTTAGATGAATAATGCGTTAGCAATATTAATGCTCACGCATTAATAATGTCTACAGACATGTCCGATGCACATTCGGACATGTTTGAGTCGTGTACGTAGATGATTCTGTCATCATGTCTGCGGAGGACACTGTGGCTCTTGTGTAATGTATGAACAGTGCGACAGCGGCTTAAAAACTAGAATACATTTATTAAAACAAATACGCAAAAATCGCATGAAATATGCAGCATGAGGAAATTGTTCTACGCTAATTCCTAGAAAAAGCAATGGTAATTATTGTACAAACATCGCAGATATATAGTTTCGTTAAAAGAATGTTTATGATTTCTCAACGATAAATGCACAAGCGTTATTATTACTATTATTATTATTTATTACCTACAGTTCGCCCATGGGGCATTATTGTAGGGGGTGACTGGCACATTAACATACATAAATAGTGAATACACATCAATGATCTGCTACACAAGCAAGGCACACTACACCAGCAAAGCACACAAAATAAGCAACCTCAATATACATTAACATTGCATCATCAGAACACGGTGCTCACAAAAAAATTATAAAACATCAATTATCATTTTACTTTTTCGTATACAAACACAGAAAAAATGAATACATAAGCTACTTAGAAAAGCATCACAGCACGCTTTCATTAAAAGACTGCTTCAGAGCACATTCAAAGTTTTCAACGGGTATGGAAGTACCATTTGATTAATTGTACGGGGAAAGAAGGATCATTCTAAAACGAATGTACGTACGGCATGTTATTTCGCGTATCCTTCTGCAGTGGCCTTATAGTCCACGGGATATAAAGGTAAGTGCATTTAAATATTTATTTTTATCGTTACCAGCCCATTCGTCTGATATTTTATTTACAAACGAACACCTCGATAAACTGCGACGTAATTCAAAAGAGCCACATGACAGGATATTTTTATCGCAGTAACGAGGGCATACTTTAAAATGTAACGCACATTAGACATGTATAAAAGTTCTTTAACGTCCCTAGGAGAGTCTCTAAAATTTATTCTGAAAAAATTAAGGACACGACCGGTTTTCAACGTGTCTATTCCACATTCGATTAGATGAAAGATAACACCCAAATATTTCACAATAAAATTTCGTATATATATTCCTTTCTTCATCGCTACTCGGAAGTAGTCTCCGAGTACCTTTACGTGCTTTTCAGTGCCTCACTTAATCAATGTTCCTTACCAGCAGATTGGCTAACGGCTAGAGTAGTTCCAGTATTTAAATCAGGTGACAAATTAGACGCCGGAAATTACAGACCTATTTCTTTAATAAGCACATGTTGCAAGTTACTTGAGCACATAATCGCTAACCATATATCTCGTTACCTAGAGTCGACCAATTTTTTTTACAAGAACCAACACGGATTTCGTAGAAACGTTTCCACAACGACTCAGCTAATATCTGTAGTCCACGATTTTGCAGCCGCAATGGACAATCGTCACCAAATCGACGCAATTTTTTAAGATCTATCTAAGGCGTTCGATCGCGTGCCTCACAATCTGCTCATTGATAGATTGAAAGAGGCAGGACTTCCTGATAGGCTGGTTCGTTGGATACAGGCCTATCTACAAAACCGCTCTCAATTCGTTGAACGTGATGGCTCTAAATCTGATAATCTACAGGTCTTGTCGGGTGTACCACAGGGCTCCGTGCTCGCACCGTTACTTTTTTTTATTTATATTAACAACATTTCCAAAAATATTGATGAATGTGTTAGTGTTAAATTGTTCGCGGATGACTGCGTAATGTATAGCCTTGTCAAAAGTTCTTCCTGTCAGACCACATTGAATGAAAACCTTTGTAAACTTGCGGACTGGTGCGACCTCCAGAAAATGAAAATTAACTTCTCTAAAACCGTCTCAATGACACTGACTACAAAAAAAAGCCCCTTTCTTACATTTACCATATTGGCAACCAGTGCATTCAAGAAGTTTCCACTGTAAAATACTTAGGTCTCAGAATTAGAAACAACCTAAAGTGGGACCAGCACATCAACAACATATGTGCCAAAGCGTTCAGAAAGCTATGCTTTCTTCGAAGAAAACTCAAAGGGTGTCAGTCGGCTGTGAAACTTGTAGCTTATCGTTCTCTGGTTCGCCCAGTTCTAGAGTACGCCTCTATTGTGTGGGACCCGTATTTGGTGAAAGATATTGCGGAGGTGGAGCGGATCCAACGTCTTGCTGCAAGATTCATCCTATCTGACTACCGCACTTCATCATCAGTAACTAACTTGTTAAAGCAGCTTGACCTCGAACCGCTCCACCTTCGCCGACAAATCTCTAGGCTGAAGTTTCTTTACTTACTTTATAACAATTCATCTGGTCTATCAAGTGACACTTATCTTCGCCCTGTGCCACAAAGGTCAGCTCGACTAAATCATTCCAAAGTCATATGCCCATACTATGCCAGAACTAACCTTTTTCAGAAGTCATTTTTCCCTAACACAATTGAACAATGGAACTGTTTGCCGTCATTGCTTATGGAATGTACTCATGTCAACCAATTCGATCATTTGTTAACTAAACTCCTTTTGTAACCCTCCCCTGCTTGGGCAGCGCCGCTGCCTGCAGTATATGTAAATAAAAAAAAAATAAAATAAAAATAAAAAAGCCGCTTCCTACTAAAATTAGTACAACTGCACTTAGCAACATTCAGTGTCATTCTCCATTTACGGCACCAAAAGATTATCTTATTAAGATCGACCTGTAGAGCAGTGCCAGCTTCCTGGGTATTTACAGTCCTATATAAAACACAGTCGTCTGCGTATAACCTTATATTAGAAGCGATGTCAGAGCCTATATTGTTGATGTAGATTAAAAACAAAAGTGGACCAAAAACCGATCCCTGTGAAACTCCGTACGGTACTGAAATAAAATAGGATTCAGACCCATTAATGACAACCTTTTGTGAGCGACATAAAGTACTCCCATACTCACCAAACAAAGCTGTCGGGTAATCCTAACTATGCAAGTTTAAGGAGCAATAAAGAGTGTGACACAGTGTCAAAAGCCCTTCGAAAGTCTACCACAATACAGTCATCCTGATTCCCGGAATCAAATGAAGAAAAAACATCAGAGGAGAACTGGACCAACTGAAAGATACAAGAAAAGCCTGCTCTAAACCCATGTTGTTATCTTACCAAAAAATTGTTCGCTTGTAAGTGGGGAAATATGTTTGAATATATTATATGTTCAAGTGTTTTACAACACACTGGTTAGAGAAAGGGGTTGTTAAAGTTGGAAACCTGTGAACGAGGACTGTTTTTAGGAACTGGGATAATATTCGCTGTTTTCCATTCTAAAGGCAGCTTCTGAAATGATAAGGACAGATTGAACAAGACAACAAGATATTTAGCAATGATGGGTGCACAAGACTTTAAGATATAAGAAGGAATGCAGTCTGGACCGGTGACACAGTTTGGTCTCAACTCGGAGACGTTTCAGGACGCCCTCATAGGATACCAGAACGTCTGGCATTGCTTCAAAAATACAGGAGTTTGTTTCAGGAAGTGCAGCTCTTGCGGGCGGGGAGAAAACAAACTGAAATTAACTATTGAAACAGACAACTTTTTCAGCGTCGTTAGGGACATAACCTTATTCGGTTGAGATGGGCCAGATAGTATTATCGTCCTTGCCGTTGAATTTAACGACCCCTCCAGATTTCATTTGGGTTAGTCTAAATCTTTCCACCTAGAGTAGAGTGAAAGTAAGCCTTGGCACATTTTATTTTCAACTTAATTGTGTTCCCTATTGTTCCTAGCCTGGTAAGAAGTTCATCTCTACCCTGATTCAAGTACTCACGAAAGACGCGACATCTCTGATTGAGCAATCGCTTAATCTCGTTAGTAAACTATGGTTTCCTGCGTCTTCTTCTGCCCGACACAATCTTAGGTGGTATATGGCAGTCAATAAGTGCTAGCAGCTTGCTTTTAAATAGCTGCAGCCAAAGGTCGTCAACACTAGACGAAGTAATCATGGCTGCAAATTTATCAAAGTAGTCCTCAAGGTTTTGTATAATCAAGCCGTAATTACCTCTCTCAAAAGAGTACACCTTTTGTGGGGAGCTACAGCCGTCGTTGTTTTTTTTTTTTTTTTTTTTTTTTTTTATTTAGTTAAGCAATTTTTATACAAAAAGAAACGCGTAATTTCCGGTTTTTATTTTTACTTTTATTTTTTTTTTTGGGGGGGGGGGAGGGGGGGGGCACGTGCTACAGTTTTGAGGAACAGTTTGAGCACACATGCGAATAACTAACGAGAAATGGCAAGTGAGCTCTTTCAGGAAAGGTGTCATAGAGAAAAGAGAGCGTTGACCTCATGTTCAAACGCAGCTCATAAAAAGGAGCGCAAAGGAATAAATTTTTACGGTTGCGGAAGACATGTATCTGACAATGAGTGAGAAGTGAGATGGAAACATCACGCTGCAGAATGTCATCAGATATTTTGCGGACCTCTAATTCTGCGGAGAGCATACTATATAGTCAAAGCACGGGCTAAATAGTTTATCTAGACTCTAGAGCCTTTAACCAATATCGCAAATTTCTGAAGCGCAAAAAAACCAAGCAATCACTTAGATGTCGTGCAATC